AAAAGCGGACCGACTGACTGACCGCTGATGCGGATGGGTTCGAGCCCCACAGACTGGCGGATGCCTCCAGGACCTACACCTCCAACCCCAAAAAACCGAAACCACAATACCAACAAAAACACAGATCCGACAGTGCACTGACAGTGCCCTCGCTCACAAGGCGGGGCTTGGCTCAGAAAACTCCAGGGATAGCAACACTTTGGTTTGGCTCTGCGCGATTGTGCAACATTGTACAACCCCAAACTGCGAAGAAGGAGTTGACCTGATAATGGCTTGGTGCAGGATATGGCAATGCTTAGTTGGGGTGGTGACCGTTGGGATGCAGGCGAGAACAGCCGGTGCACAGCTTTTGGCTTCTTGCCGGACCATGAAGGTCGAAGTGGAAAGGATACCGTGCCAGACTTGTAAAGCATGCTACAAAGCGCCGCACTCTGTAGGTCAAGGGGCACACCCTCGAATGGACCGGGCTTGCATAAGATCGTTCTTTCCTCGGTGCAAGGTCTGCGCTCACAAGGCGGGATGGTTGCTGGGATTCACACAGGTTGAGCCCATTTCAAGACAGGACATTCAGAATAAGTGCCTTTGAAATTTGAACTTGTGAGGCTTCTGTGAATTGTCACTTCATCGTCGAGGTCTGGAGCCTCAATCTTCATGCCAAGCGAGAAGCACTGAGCAGCGACGGTTATTTAGAAACGAGGCAACGGGGCCATGTGGGATCCATTAACTCAGGTTCCATGCCACGCAGTTGGAGTTCACCGACTTCCCTGAAAGCTTCACTGAGGTCTCAAGCCTCTCAAGCCGAAGGGTCGATCTCCAGGGTCAGTTGCCCATTCGGATCCTCACTGCACTTCGTGACCTGCCGCGAGGGGGGGGGGGGGGGGGGGGGGGGGGGGGGGGGGGGGGGGGGGGGGGGGGGGGGGGGGGGGGGGGGGGGGGGGGGGGGGGGGGGGGGTGTGGGCATGCCAACAGGGCCTCCAGCGCTGACCTCATCAGGTTGGGGAAAGCCACATAGCTCGAGGCCACCAGAGATCGAAAGATAGTGTGGCGGTTCGCACGTCCTCCTTGGCACTGGCTCTCATTCGGCGTGCTGTCTTTGCAAAACGGTCTGCCGCCTCAATGTGATTCAAGATTCCGACATGCAGACCGAGGAAGCCCCGACAAAAATCCCGTCAGGAATCAGTTGCAACCATCCTGCTTTCTAGACTGCCAGACCCAATGAAGCCTTTTACTCACTGTGCTGGGACATGCTGCACTTCTCCAAAGCGGCTGCAAACTTCAAAGCAACACGCGAAACCTTGCGAAGCCGCACAACATCTACAAACTGCATTTGCGAGTCAGCTGGGCTCCCAGGCGGCAAGCGTGAAAAAGCTGAAGCAGGAGGTGGCAGGCACAAGGCAGAAGAGCTGAGACGATGACCTAAGGATACAATTCTTGCGGGTTCTTGAGCCGGTTTGCACAGGTTCTGGGTTGACCGGCGTGGGGAATGAGCCAGGAGCGTCAAGAAGAAGAAGAAGAAGAAGAAGAAGAAGAAGAAGAAGAAGGTGTCGGCAACGACATCATCAAGTGCTCAACAAAGCGGAGCGCAAACTTTCGCATCCATGTCTGGTCGGGAAGAACTTTGCTTCTTATCACGTACGTTTGACCCCTGGAGGCAGAGAACTCTGCCGAGTCTCCCTGGAGTGCGAATCCCCAAGGAATGGCATGAAATGGCCGGCAGAGCCCACACGCAGAGAATCCTGCCGAGAATGCTGCCGAGTCTCGAGTGCTCACCCCCAGAGGATCCCGCCACCCTGAGTGCCCACCCCCACACAATCCCGCAGAGAAGAACGCCCAGAATCCTGCACCCAGAGAATCCCGTCGAATATCCACGGAATCCGCAGAGAATCCTGCCGAGAATCGGAAAAAAACATGCAGAGGCTGGCCTCGCAACAAAGTCCCAAATCAAGGGCGCAATCTGCGCGTGTGGTGTTGGGGAGGGCATTCGAGGTGGGGTGCCTGCTTTGTGCCCCGCATACACCTACGGCCCGAGGCCTTGGCGGATTTCCCAGGTCTGGTTGTATTCTTAGTCGCGAGGGGGGAGGAGTGACATTGACCAATCAATGAATTCGGCGCTGCCCGGGCCCTCTGCTGACATGAGTGACAGGCTAGCTACGCCAGCTTTCGTGACACCAGGAAGCCAGGGTTGGGTTTGTTTCTTGCAAGCTGTTTTTCCGTTCTCAAGTTCGGGCGTTCGCCTTTTCCGGCTCAGGCCGAGTCGGCTTCCGACGGCTGACGTCTCCTGACCCTGAAGCATTTTTCTAGACTTGCGTCTCGCGCACAGGTTTGAGGACACGCGTAGTGCTTCAGCCAAAGGAGAAGTTCTCATGAGCTGAACTCTCGGCTTCTACATGGGGCAAGGAGTTTCGACATGATTGTGGCCATGTTCGGGCGGTTTCGGCTACCATCTACGGACTTTGTTTAAGGCCTCCATGCACAAGACGGGGATGCTCCGCTTAAGTGTGCGAGCCCGAAGAAGTTCAAGTTGCAAAATCTAATTCCTTGGGGCCTCGGAATGCCATTCGAAATTCCCAGTTAGCTGCACCACTTGCCACGGAGAAGCCATAAAGGCGTAGAGCCAAACATCTGCCTCGCAGCAATGCCAAACGAAGATCAGAGAGAGAGAGAGAGAGAGCGAGAGCGAGAGCGAGAGAGAGAGAGAAAGAAAGAGAGAGTAGCACGTAGCGTACAGACTGCTGGAAGGTAGAAAGTCGAGGAGCTGGATGATTGGTGCTTTCTGTGTGCGTAGAGTTGTTTCGATATTCGTAATACGCTCAAATGGACCACGCTGCACATCATGGCTCACCGTCACTTTGACATGCTCCACATGTTCCAGGAGTGTCAATCAACCCATCCCTTCCAGGATGTCAAGATGTCAGAGCTCAACCATGAACAACACTGCACAGCACATTCGTCGAGGCTCCGCGTGTCACACGCACGCCATTACTTTCAAGGCTCCATGCACGAGGCACTTTGCAACGCTACGCAAGGCCATAACTTATGCCAAATATGCGCCATGCCCCAGGCGTTCCATCCATGTTACACGGCACATTTTGCAACGCTGCGCAGGTTGAATATGCCAACGCTCCACGCCGAAGATGCTGCACCGGTTCTGAATTCCGCTGTCATCGGCTTCGCGCTGGGGCGCTCCGACGCAGGCAGCTCCACTGCCCAGATGGGCGAAGCCCCCGGCTCGGCTCGTAGGAATAGAATCCATGGGCGCGTTTGATCAAATGGGCGCAAAAGAGGCCAACACCCGTCCGTCGAATCTCTGAAATTGTAAAACTCCAAGCCTTGAACGCACAAAACCCTCCAACATAGCCACCAAAGAGCACCCAACGTCAAAACATGATCATGCATCTGTCTGGCCAACTGTTCGGCCCATTGATGCATGTTGCCGAACACCGTGGGGTCCAGCAACTGGTCTTGGCACCGCGCGTCACACCAAGTCTTCATGTCGATTTAACGATTGCTGTCGATGGCAAGCCGAAGCCAGCAAAGCATCGCACTTGCTCCGGAAGCCTTCAAACTGAACGAACCTACCAGCTATCACCGCACATCCACCAAAGCAATCTCCGTAGGCTTTTTCCCATGCAAACCCCCTACGGGTGGCAAAAGTTCAGTGAAGCTTGTCGAGAACATTGTTGCACCCATTTCACGGGGTCAGGGCAACGGTGAACACTTTTTTGACGAGCCCCCGCATTGCCCGCGCTGAACCTGGGGTTACCGTAGGGGGGGTTTCGGCGAGGAGACCTTCCCCTGGATCCTCAGCGTCGATCGTGGCCCTGGTCGGGGGCTCGTCGGGGGCTGTGGGGTCGACTATCCCGACGTCTACCCATGATCAGCACCCGAAATCCCAATCTTGTTCAAGACGTTCAAGAGACTTGAACCAAAGAAGCCCGCCATGATGTCGGGCGCATCCAACGAACAGCTCTGGGAAAACCGTCACCCAAAATTTCCAAGGGTGGAACCTGATCAAGACAAACGCCTCCCCAACCGAACCCCTTCGTGCGTCTGACTTCACAGGCCCTCAAGGGGTCCCTTCATATAAACCGCATCAGAGGACTCGACGATGCAGCTCCCGCTTACAGCCCGGACTGATGCCCTCTCGACCGGAAAGAGGAGCTCATTCAATCTTTCTGAAAATTGATAACTGAGAGGTGACAACTCTGCTTGGGTTGTATGGTCATGCATCGGGCTCTCCACAGGAGAGATCACAGTTGGCCACCATTGATGGGAGCCAACCGGCAGCAGCATTCACACACTTGAGATTGAGTCACACTGCGCCATGCTCGTTCACGACGGGCTCATCCACAATATCTACTAACTGAGTCACTAGGTCACTTGAGGCTCGAAGTTTAGAAGTGTGTCGATCCGAAGTCTAAGCTCACAAGCACTGTGAAGCAGGCAGATACACAATGGTGGCCAACCAGTGCTTCCCATCAATTCTGTAGCTTCGTTGGGTACGGTGGGGATTGGCTCGTCGCGCGCGGAAATTCGGCCAAAGCGAGAGAAGGCGAAGGCCATGTTGCCGCACACGAAGGCAATTCTACTTGACAAACGAAACAATGAAGAATGTCAAGCAGGCCCATCAAAACGTTGCATTCCTGCAGGTGCTGTCCCAAGACGCTTCCCCCCCGCTGGTTCGTTGGGCAAGTTTCATCACTGGATGTCAGCGGAAACCTTTCCCCTCGCGTCCCCTTGCAGTATTCGGTTTGACATGCACTTCCTTCATAAATGAAGTGTTCCAGTTGAGCATGCTCTGCGAAGAGAAGAGGTACTAGCAGAGGTAGAAGACGAATGAAGGAGGTGATATATGAGTGTGGCAGTGTTAGAGTGCAGGGCGCGTTCAAGCTAGACGACACGCACATGGTCGCGCTTCATAGGCACGATGTGATGCCCCACCGATGCTGCTCTCATCTTGCCCTCTAGTCATCATTCTGCAGCATTGCTTCAAATCCAGA